CACAGGCTGCTTGAAACAATAATTCTGTACTTTCTTTCCTGTTTCTAGATTTATTTTAAGTATTAGTATAAAATGTCAGAGCAGCTGATAGAGGCCAGATCAGTTTGTATAAAACCCGACTGCCTGTTTGTAGTATATTACAGCTATATTTGACACAGGAAAGCACTTAATCATGCCTGCTATCAGCACACCACACCCACCTTTGTGAGGACCCTCAGAGGCTTTGAGATTTATCACTGTGAACTTGAACTGGATGGACAGGCCCTAATGGATAATGCAGGCGGCTTCTGAGAAGTTCAAGCTAAAAGTGTCCCATCCACAATCCAACTGCCAAGAGAAAAGTCAGGAACACCAAGGGCCTTCCAGAAACAGCCCCAGTGGACACCTCCTGCGCCCTCACTTATCTGGGACTCTGATGAGTGTAAATCTGATGACATGGTAACAAACTCCCTCTGCCTCATTTCCTCCCCAGACTGCAGCTTCTGAGGCCCCTGTAACCACATTTCCCTCTTTGTGCCAACCGATAAATGATACTTGTAAGACAGAAAAGGCAAGTGGCACTGCTGTGGCATTCTCGCAGTTGACCAGCCTCATGGCCATCTGCATCTGCCACCTGCACAGCCAGGTGCCCTGGGCGGTGGCACAGCAGACAGGGCCATGCCGTCCATTTCATTCAGGAGACCTCTGAGTCCTGCAGAGCCATGTGAGCTGACCTCTGCACACGTCCTGTCTCTAAATCCTTCCTCTTAAATGTGACACACTTGGGGTCCAGGGTCTAGCATTGGCTGTTGACCAGAAGTTGAGAAATCTGGTTCTGCCCTGACTTTCAGCATTATGTTTTGTTTTTTTGGACAGAGTCTTACTCCATTGCCCCATGCTAGAGTGTCATGGTGGCCTATCTCACAGCAACCACAAACTCTTGGGCTCTTGCCTCAGTCTCCTAAGTAGCTGGGACTATAGATGCCCACCCAACACCCGGCTATTTTTTTTTTCTAGAGACGGGGTCTCCCTCTTGGACAGGCTGGTCTCAAACTCCTCAGCTTTAGCAATGCACCTGCTTCAGCCTCCAGAGTGCTAGGATTACACGGTGAGCCAACACATCCAGCCTCTTTTCAGCACTCTATGGGAACACTACTGACCTCCTAAGATTCTGCTTCCACTTCTGATATGGGGCTGATGCAGCCTCTGCATATGTCAGAGGATAGGAATGTGCCATCACTTTGCCATGAAATATTAATATTGGCTCAGCAGACATACACCAGGGTTGGCAGGTTTGAGCCCAGCCTGGGCCTGTAAACAATGACAACAACAACAACAAAGCCGGGCATTGTGGCAGGTGCCTGTAGTCCCAGCTACTTGAGAGGCTGAGGCAAGAGAATCGCTTAAGCCCAAGAGTTTGAGGTTGTTGTGAACTGTGACGGCACAGCACTCTACCGACAGTGACAGAGGAAGTCTCTATCTCAAAAAAAAAAAAACAGTCCAAAGCCAGAATGACCAGTCACAGCTCAGCTCCTCCAAGGAACTTACCAAACCCCTCTGAGCCTCAGTTTTCACATATGTACAATAGCAAGAACAGAATCCTTTAGTTTTGGGGGGTTTTTTTTTGTTTTTTTGTTTTTTTGTTTTTTTTTTGTAGAGACAGAGTCTCACTTTATTCCCCTCAGTTGAGTGCCATGGTCACAGCTCACAACAACCTCCAATTCCTGGGCTTAGGCGATTCTCTTGCCTCAGCCTCCCAAGTAGCTGGGACCACAGGCACCTGCCAGAACATCCAACTATTTTGTTGTTGTTGTTGCAGTTTGGCCAGGGCCAAGTTTGAACCTGCCACCCTCAGTATTTGGGGCCAGCACCCTACCCACTGAGCCACAGGCACTGCCCCAGAATCTTTTAGTTTTTTTCCTTCTTCTTATGGACATTTTCAAACTTTTTATTAGTGTATTATTTTATGAAATATTTAATTGATAAAGATTGTATTTTTCCAAGTATGAGACATGGTTAATGTATACATTGTGTAATGATGACCATAATCAAATTCACTAACATAGCCGTCACCACACCAGCTGTGCATTACACCCCCAGAACTTACTCATCTCAGAACTAAAGGTTTGTAACTTTTGACCAATATCTCATCATTTCCCACCTCCCAGGGCATTCCCTGCTCTGGGTTCCAGTGTTCAAACATACTTTTTGAGGTAGAGAGAATATAGGAGAGTGCACTTCCAGGTTGCCTCACAACTCAGTAAGGTTTCACAACCATGGCACATCAGCGCCTCACAGCTGTGTTCACGCCAACGTGTGGCTGCGTCTTGCTGAGTGGTGTTCATTATGGTTGTGGTGTGTTTTGTGTGTGCTGTACGGTGACAGCTCTGGTGATTATTCCAGAAAAAGACTTCCAAATTGCTCTGAAGGGTGGACTAGGCTCTAGGGTTGGTGCACAGCTTCCCCAGGAGAGGACTTTGAAGGTGGCCATAGTGATATTTGTCAATGAGATATGTAGCACTTTGTCTAGGAGGAATTTGCAAACTTAATTGTTAGACCTATATTACCTGGTTGCAGACATTTTTTTTTCTGGATTCCTTTAAAACAAATCCCAGGGTCATGCCATTTCCCCTATCCCTGATAATCAGGATATGCATTTTTAACATGACCACCATGCCATTGCCACACCTAGCAAAATTAACAATAATTCTTTAATGTCTGGTATCTGTTCTAAAGCCAACTCCTCCAATTGTCTCAAAGATGTATTTTTACAGTTGGTTTGGTCACATTGGAACACAAAGAAGGTCCAGATGTTGGATGTGGTCTCTTATGGGACTTTCAGTCACTTTTATTCTTTAACAGTTACCTCTCTCTTTTATTGTTATTTATTTAGTGGGTTTGTTTTTTGTCTTGAGACAGAGTCTCACTTTGTAGCCCTTGGTAGAGTACCAAGGTCTCATAGCTCACAGTAATCCTCAAATTCTTGGGCTCAAGAGATTCTCTTGCGTCAACCTCCCAAATAGTTGGGACTATAGGCATCTGCCACAATGCCTGGCTAGTTTATTTCTATATTTAGTAGAGTCAAAATCTTACCCTTGCTCAGGCTGGTCCTGAACTCTTGAGCTCAAGCAATCCATCTGCCTCAGCCTCCCAGAGTGCTAGGATTATAGGGGTCAGCCACCTCACCAGCCCTGCACTGGCCACTTCTCCCTTTAAAAAAAAAAAAAGTTGTCGTCTTGGGAATGTTGCCCACCCTGGGATAAGCTGATTGCTTCCTTCTGGTGATATTTAATGTTTTTCTGTTCGTTTTACCATTGTCCATATCTCACTCCATATCTCACAGTTTTGATGGTTAGGATTAGGTATATTCATTTGCTGGAGTTGCCATAACACAGTATCACAGACTGGGTGGCATGAACAACAGAAATGTATTGTCTAAAAATTCTGCAGGCCAGAAGCCCGAGATCCAGATGTCAGCAGGGCTGGTGTCCTCTGAGGGCTGCGAGGAAGGGGTCTGCTCCAGGCATCTCTCCCTGCCTTGGAGATGCCCACTTCCTCTCGGTCTTCATATCATCTTCACTCTACCTGTGTTTGTCCCTGTGTTCAATCTTCTCTTTTATAAGGACACAAGTCACATTGGATTAGAACTTAACACTAATAACAACTTTATTTCCAAATAAGTCACAATCTGATGTACTAGGAATGAGGAATTCAACATATGAATTTGAGGGGATGCACAACTCTTAACAGCACGATATCTAGCACATGGTAAGCCTTCTGTGAATAGCAGCTGCCAATCCTTGGATCCTTAACCTGTTATACTGTTACTTACCTAAAGATTAAGTGAGGCAACAGAATGTAATGAAGCCCTGAGCACAATGCCCAGCACCATGAATAGCAGCCATTATGCTATAACATGTCATAATGTTTCTTATTTAGTCATTGTTTTTAATGCTAATTTTTGGTTAAAATATTATTTAAAAATTTTTAAGTACTAACTTAAATTCATAAGGCTTGGTAAGAATGAGCCACAGAAGTGATGGATTTGCTAACTAGAGGGACAGGAATAAGTCTGCATATCAGGAGGCCCGAGGGCAAAGGTGAGCAACCCAGTGCTCCAGCGCCAGCGAGATGGGGGCCTGGCCTTCTCACCTCACCAGCTACACATGGGCAGGTTGCGCTTCCAGACTGGGGATTCTTTTTCTCTGAAATGATCAAGAGATCATTCTCCAGCCCCCTTTCACGTCTAACGTCCTAGTTTCTATGGGAAAAAGGACCGTGAAAGGCATGGCATGGGACTGTCACTTAACAAATATGTTTCATTAGACTGCAACCATGATGCTTCATTGTATTTGTAATATACCAAAAAAACTAACAAAAAATTGTACTTGTTGCTAGGCAAAAAATCATTCTTAAAATGGACTAGGTAAAAAGGATTTTTGTAAAACCAGCCAGGCCGACACACGTCCGTCCTCACCACCTTTCACTTCAGTCTATCCCTCACCCTCACTTGTTTTTCTGCTCCGTGGACCATCGAAACTTTCTTTCGCTCTCAGTCCCCGTTTGTGGTTGTTTCTTGTTTGTGAGCCTCCAACCAGCTATTCTGTGCATGTCTCTCTGCCGAGCGCTCTTTTCTCCCTGGCCTCCTTTGTCTTCCCCTCCTTGGTCCTCTGTGTCTTCCTCTTATTTATTTCGTTCTTCTCAAATCTGAAATTTTGGAAGAGCTAGCATCTCTCAATACGGAGACAGGCTCACTTACAGCATCCCAGTGAGACTTTGTCCTAAACAACCTCTGCCTGTCTTTTAGATGACAACAGTCACCCCCAGGGCGGTGATCTGGCTGGGAATAAAGAGGACAGAGCTCAGTAGCACATACAGCTTGTCAGCCCTCTACAGGCGCACAAAGCCTCTGCCTCACAGCCAACACAAAGTCATCTGTCACCTGCTGGAATACTCGTCTCTGGGGCAATTCTAGCCAGAGGCTCGGCTAGCTGCCCAGTACCCTATTGGGAACAACTGTAATGGCGGTGTTAAGTGAGGAGAAGGAGATCCTGGTGCTCAGGGCAGCAGAGAACACAGCTTTCATGCTGTGAGAAGTGTGACCATACAACAATCAGATAATCAGAAATGATCACTAATTGGAAAGGAAGCCTGGAGTCTGCAGAGGCCCTTAACATCTTTAGCTGGCTGTGCTCAGAGGAGAGGGGCCCCAAGGGCAGCAAGGGCCCGGGGCGGAGAGAAGGGACGCAGTGGTCTCCAGCAGTGGGGAGGGCAGAGGCCACCCAGACCAGGACACAGCGTCCGGAGTGCTGTGGGGACTTGGGACCCATTTGTAAGGTGTGTGTTCCGTTCTTCTGTTGGGACCATTTGTAAGGTGTCTGTTCCGTCCTTCTGCCGGCAGCTTCTTGGTCTTCCTGCAGCTTCTCCAGCAGACTTCCCTCCTGAGAAGACACAGTTCCCATTTGGAAGAATTATGTGGCCTCTCTATCTCCAGCCAGTTTCATTTGCTTGGACTGTATAAATGAATTTTCTTCCAGATTTCCCTACTAACTCTGGATAAGCTGAAAAGCCAAAGTACCATGACCAGAGCTGAGCAACTCTTTGGATATAACAGGTCAACAATGAAGAAACACTCAAGGATGATCTCCCGTGTCTTAGTCGGAGTTCCCAGAGGGAGGATATGCCACAAACTGAACAAGAAAAAGTAGAATTTATCAAAATATTCGTATCTTCACACCTTCCCTCACCACCAACCCTCTGTATTAAAAACTTGCTCTGTTGGAAGTAACCTGTAATTTCAGGGGCCATATTTCATGTCCATATTCATTTAAAAATTGTATATTAGTGCTTTCTGTGTGCAAGAGGCTGAACTGGACATCAGGAGATTGAAAGAGAGTGAAGGACACCCCATTTATACAAATTATGCCACGTTCTCACCCCATTTATACAAATTAAAGAAAACAGAAACAGGGCGGCACCTGTGGTTCAAAGGAGTAGGGCACCAGCCCCATATGCCAGAGGTGGCGGTTTCAAACCCAGCCCCAGCCAGAAACTGCAAAAAAAAAAAAAAGAAGAAGAAGAAGAAACAAACAAACAAACACTTCACTTCAAAGAAGTGAAGTGACTTTCCAGTGTCCCTGGGCTAAGAAGGGACAGAGAGAGACAGCCAGCCCAGGCCTATCTCAGGTCCACACCCCTTCCCTGCCAGCACAAATCACTGCCATGTTTAACTCTCATGGCACGTGGGGAGTAGGCTGGAGGTCTGTGTCTGACAGCGGGGAGAGGAAGGATGCTGGGTGCCTTTCCACAGGGGCTGTGCTGCTGCAGAGTCTGAAGCTGAAAATTGAGATGAAAAGGAGACCCGGCGCTGGTCTGAGGCAGCCACTTTTGATCCAGGACAGTCCAGGATTTGGGAGCTGGAGTGGACGGGGATTTCCATCTCCTTCTGCCCAGGGAAGCTAGATTCTCATCTCTGCTGATTTTATAGGAGAAATGGGGCTGACTCAGAAAACCGTATAGACTAGCCACATACACTGACAAAGTCAGATTCTTTTGTAAAGGTTTACTTTAGGAAGGCTGGAATCTACTCTGTATCATTCCAAACCACAAGTTGAGGCTGATGATATGACCTGTGTGGCACTTGGCAATGTACAAAGTGTTTCTCCACCCGCCTCTGGTCTGACATCGAGGGGCCTTATTACTCCCTTCTCAGATGATGAAACAGGTGCTTGAGAAATGCTCTACACCCCTTGCCCAATGCCATGGCCATGGCCACAGGTAACTATGGGATATTTGAAATGTGACTAGTGAAACTGAAGAACAGAATTTTTAATTTTAATAACGGAAGTTTAAGTTTCAGAAGCCCCATGTGGCTGGTGGCTGCTGTGCTGAACTGTGTGCTTGTAGGTGTCCAGGACTTGTCCAAGTTCATGGCTTCAGTGAGCTTCAATGCCTGGACTCCTATTTGCAGCAACAGATTGCGACAGAAATTCCTCCTGGGTTCCTTGAGTTAATCATCGGCCTGATTCAAATGCTGGAAATTTAATTCTGTTGTGAAACTTCTCAAGTATGAATTCGATAAGAAGAAGGGATAAAAATAGATGAAATCAACTTTCCCTTATGTCAACCAGGTGTGAATGTGTTGGGCAATGGGGGAATAATATATATATTCATCACCTGAGCAAAGTTTTCCACTCAGGTTGTGGGTAAAAGAATGAGCTTCTGAGCCCAGCAGTGAAGGCAATTGCCCAGGTCAGCCTATTCACTGAGGGGATGGTGTGGCTGGCTTTCACCTTGTGGGAGGAAAAACAGAATTCCTGTCTCCTCAGCCTGCTTCTGGATAGGTCCTCTCCTCCTCTCCTGTGATTCTCTAGTAACCGTGTATACCAGAAAGTTCCAGGAACCAGACAGAAACCATTATCTGACACAATTCCCGCTCATCAGTGTTGGTTAGGCCAACTGAGGGGACCCTAGGGGCAGGAGATAGGAAGGGCATTCATCAGTGAAAATCTCAGGCTTTAGTAAGAGAGAGCAACCCGGGAACAAGAATTAGAGCAAGTTTCCCGGAAAAACATTTCATCTCTCTGGAGGGGGTAAGTACAGCCCTCTGTCAATCGAAACAAATACCTCTTCTTGCCATATTCTGAGGACCGTCGTCTCACTCCTTGTAAGGACCCAGGTACTGTTTCTTTGTCTCAGCTCTTTGCCTACTAAGCGGTTTTGGAACTGGCTCGGGAAAATCCGCCAATGACAACACGAACACCTCCCACCCAAGCATGACCTTTGGAGGCCCGGCCGCCCGTCGCGTGAGTCGGAGGGGTTCTCAGAATGCTGCACATTTCTCTCCTCAGCCTGCCTCCAGATAGTCCCTTCCTTCCTGGATAGATAGGGGTGTAGGTTGGCCAGGCAGGTGACCCTCACCTCCACCCCAGAGTTAGTAGGAGCCTCATTTCATCCTCATTATTAATAGCTGGGTGTGCTAATGTTTCCTGAAGAACATGATAAGGGCACAGAATCAGAAGGAAACAAACGCGTGACTCGGCACTGCTCCCCCCACTCAGCAGCTGCGGAAAGCTCCTGGGTGGCCCAAGGAGCTCTGCAAGGCCCGGACTCCAGCCCAGTGTCAGCCTGAAGGTCTAATATTGCATGAGATGAGGGTGTGCAGCCCTGAAATTCAGAAAAACAGTAGATAGTCTCCATGTAACACCACCTCCAGCCCTCCAGGTGCCTGAGTCAGTGACCAGAGCTGCCTTCTCAGTTTATCTGAGGGGCCAGCTTCTGTCTCCTGAATTCCAGTTAGTTTGCTGACGGGAGGAACCTAAAGTTTACCGAGAACTGTGTTCAAGGTTTCATCTCTCTCTTTCAGTTCAGTCCCTGCATCTCCCTGTGAAATCAGAAATATTAACTGATTTTAGAGACGGGGAAGCTGAAGTTCAGAGAAGGTAAGTGATTAGCCCAAGACCACACAGCTAGTTAGATGAAGAGCAAAAATCCAAACTCTGATCCATCAGTCTCCCAGCACCAGGCTGCCACCTGGTGTAGCAGGATCTGAATGGAGCTGAGTACCCGCTATGACACAGGACTGAATTGTGGCCCCCATCAAAATAATGTATATGTTGAAACCATAACCCTCGGTGCAACTGTGTTTCAAGATAAGGCCTTTGGGGAGCTCATTAAGGTTAAATGAGGTCATAAGAGCATTCCCGATCCAATAGACTGATGTTTTTATAAGAGAAAAAGAAACCAGAACTCACACTTTTTAGGGGGGAGGATTCATTGAGGGTACAAAGAATTAGGTTACGCTAGGGTGACCAGACGTCCCGCTTTTGGTGGGACAGCCTGATTTTGAACAATTTGTCTTGTGTCCCGCAGCATTTTTAAAAAGTCCTGATTTTTGGAAAGAAGGCACAAATGGGCAGGAGAACAATAGGGAATATATGGTTTTCGGCTGCCATGTGGCTATTTCACCAGGATATGAGTTTTATATTATTTTTATTAATTTTATAATGTTAAACTGTAATAATAATAAATAATTGTTGAGAAGTGATTACAGCGGGGTGTGCTAATCAAAGTTTGCTTATCAAAGTTTGCATTGTTGTCAGGCCCTGCCCTGCCCCGCCCCCGTGCCGACTTGGTCAATGGTGTCCTGCTTTACCAATGTTAAAATCTGGTCACCTTAGGTTACGCTGATTGCATTTGTTAGATAAAAATCCCTCTTATAGGCTTGGTGCCTGTGGCTCAAGTAGCTAAGGCCCCAGCCACATACACCTAAGGTGGCGGGTTCGAATCCAGCCTGGCTGCCACCAAATGATGTCACAACAATGACGGCTGCAACCAAAAAATAGCCAGGCGTTGTGGTGGGCGCCTGTAGTCCCAGCTACTTGGGAGGTGGAGGCGGGAGGCTTGCTTGAGCCCAGGAGTTGGAGGTTGCTGTGAGCTGTGATGCCACAGCACTCTACCCCGGGGGACAGCTTGAGGCTCTGTCTCAAAAAAAAAAAAAATCCCTCTTATAATTGTGTCCCACCCCTAAGAGGTGTGCCATACACCATGACCCCTCTTCTCTCTCCCTCCTCCTCTCTCCTCACTTGCTCATTCCCCTAACCCCCTTGTATTAGCTCTTTTTCTGCCTTCATATTAGAATAGAGCACATCGAATTCTTGGTTCTCCATTCTTATGATACTTTACTAAGAAGAGTGTGTTCCACCTCCATCCAGGTTAACACAAAAGATGTAAAGTCATTATCTTTTTTAGAGGCTGAATAGTATTCCATGGTGTACATATACTACAGCCTGTTAATCCATTCCTGGGTTGTGGGCATTTAAACTATTTCCACATTTTGGCGATTGTAAATTGAGCTGCGATAAACAGTCTAGTGCAAATGTCCTTATGAGAAAAGGATTTTTTTCTCTGAGTAGATGCCCAGTAATGGGATTGCAGGATCAAATGGGAGCTTTAATTTGAGTTCTTTGAGGATTCTCCATACTTCCTTCCTAAATGGTTGTATTAGTAGTTTGCAGTCCCACCAGTAGTGTAAAAGGGTTCCTTTCTCTCCACATCCACACCAGCACCTGTAGCTTTGAGACTTTGTGATGTGGGCCATTCTCACTGGGGTTAGGTGATATTGCAGGGTGGTTTTGATGTGCATTTCTCTGATGATTAGGGATGATGAGCATTTTTTCATATGTTTGTTAGCCATTCATCTGTCTTCTTTAGAGAAGGTTCTCTTTTGCCCAGTGATCTATGGGATTGTTGGCTTTTTTGTTGTTGATTGAGTTCTGTGTAGATCCTAGTTATCAAGTTTTTATCCAAATCATAATATGCAAATATCTTTTGCCATTCTGAAGGTTGTCTGTTTGCTTTGGTTGTTGTGTCCTTAGCTGTACAGAACAGAGCTCACCCTTTCTTTTTTGTTGTTGTTGCAGAATTTTTTTTTTGGTCAGGGCAGGGTTTGAACCCACCACCTCTGGTATATGGGCCCATTGCCCTACTCCTTGAGTCACAGGTGCCACCCAGAGCTCACACTTTCTAAATGCAAACAAGAAACACACACTGTGAGCACCCAGTGAGAAGCGGCCATCTGAGGGCCTAGAAGGGAGGTGTCACCAGAAATCAGCCCAGCAGGCATCTTGAACTTGGATTTCTAGCCTCCAGAACTGTGAGAAAATAAATGTCTGCTGGGTATTCTGTGATGGTAGCTCCTTGGACCTCCTCATATAGCACTCAAAAGAATATCGTGCCCTAAACCCACATCCCCTCGCACCTACCTACCTCTCCAGCAGGCCAAGGGCTGGGTGATGTGGGTGAGTTAGTTTCCCAAGGCAAAAAAAATATGGGAACTCAAAAAAACTTAGTAATTAAGATAGATAATGTTCTCATGAAATAGTTTTTAAAAGCAAAATTAATGCTAAAACACAAGTCTTTGGCTACCTCATGATTTTGCCCAGGAAATAGGCAAAATAGCTAGCTGTGGTCGATAGCTATTTCTCCCTGGCTTTTCAGTGCAAGTGGAGCCCCAAACTCCATGCTTGAGATGAAGGAACTGCCCTTCTCCCCATTACTGATTATGAAGATGTTGACAACAACCAACAAGTGTGGACTGAACACCAGCTGAGTTGCAGACTTTGTCCTGGGTACAGACTGCTCGACAGTGAGCAGGGCAGACCTGGCTCTGCCTCCTGGAGGAGACGTCTGCAGAGGGACAAAAGCAAAAGGCGGCACGAAGAGGCCACAGCACTGGGGCTGCACTCAGCACGTGCAAAGGAGAGGGGACAATGGAGACCCGGAGGGGACGCCTAGGCTGGCTGAGAGCATCAGGAAAGGCACCCTGGGGAAGGTGGTGTCTCTTGCAGTTTACAAAGTGACAGAGGTGGGAAGACCTGGCTCCAGGCAGAGGAGAAACAGGAGCAAATCCTCAAGATGCCGCTGCTCACTGACCACTGACCAATCACAGTGACCTGGCATGGAAAGCTCGTGGCACCTGTGGGTGAGCTTCCTCACACGCACCCATCTATGCATCAACGAATCCCATTGGTTCTACCTTCACACTGGGAATGGACTTGCCAAGTCCAGTCTGAGCCTCCTACCTGACCCCTGGAGCCACCTTCGTCGTCTTCCGTCACTTCTCAGTGTTCATGCCAGAGTCACTGGCTAAAGGATGAGGTGGGGCATGCTGCTTCTCTGGCCCAAACCCTCCGATTGCTTCTCGTCCCTACTCAGAGTCAAATAAATCAAATACCCTGCACTGCATGTCCCACTGTCAGCTCTCCCCACCCACTTCACAGTTCCACAATTGTGGGATTTATCTTGTTTATTGTTTGTATCCCCTGTTGACTGCCCAGACAACCACCAGAAAAACTTGGTAGTCAATCAAAGCTACGTTTATTAGAATCAGACCATCTTGACAGAATCTTAGCAGTGTTTGAAAATGAGAAGTTAGAGCAAAGTTAATGCAGATATCAAGAGTAGCTATTAATAAATATTTCTCAAATACAAGAACAAATGAGTTATTATTTCCATTTTTAAAATAAAGAAACTGGGCTGGGGCAGTGGCTCCTGCCTATAATCCCAGGAGTCTGAAAGACAGAGGCAGGAGGATCTCTTGAGCTCAGGAGTTCAGGACCAGCCTGAGCAAGAGTAAGACCCTGTCTCTACTAAAAATAGAAAAAATTAGCAGGGCATGGTGGCAGGAGCCTATAGCCACAGCTACTTGGAAGGCTGAGACAGGAAGATCACTCGAGTCCAAGAGTTTGAGGTTGCTGTTGAACGAGGCTGATGCCACAGAGACGATAGCCTGGGCAACAGAGCAAGACTCTGTCTCAAAAATAAATTAATTAATTAAGGAAACTGTAAATCAAGTAACTTTCCTTAGTCACATAACTAGATGAACAGAGGCCTATTTGGTTTCAAAACCAAATTCCTGTGCCACCATGCTGATGAAAGTAACAGGGTGGCACTGTGTTAAACACTTCAAATACAGTTTACCATTTAATTCAATGACTTTACAATGCAGGTACCATCAAGGATGCAGAAACTTGAGTTTACAGAAAGCCCTAAGTAGAGAGCTTGTTCTTCAAGCTAGACTTTTGTAACTCAATACCTGTGATATTATGCTATACCTGAAAGGTGGGAGTAACCCAAGCATCCGTCAATAGATGAATGGATAAACAAAATATGGTAAAAATGAAGGAAATGCTGACACTTTCTACAATATGGATGAACCTTGAGGATATTGTGCTAAATGAAATAAGCCAGTCACAGAAAGACAAACAGTGTACTGGGTAATCCCACTGCTATGCGGTACCTACGACAGTCAAATTCGTAGAGTCAGAAAGGAAAAGGTTGGAGTAACCACTCTTGTGATTCTCCCCATGCACATGGTATTTGGAGATAAACATTTCTCTTATTAATCTGAAGAAAAAAGAAAGCAAGCAGAATGATGATTGGCAAGTGTTAGGGCTGGGGGTGGGAAGTTACTGTTCAGCACAGTGGTTCTCAACCTGTGGGTCGCAACCAATGAAAATACATCCTGCATATCAGATATTTACATTATAATTCATAACAGTAGCAAGACTACAGTTACGAAGTAGCAACAAAAATAATTTTATGGTTGGGAGTCACCACAGCATGAGAAACTGTGTTAAAGGGTCAGGGCATTAGGAAGGTTGAGAACCACTGGTTTAGTGGGTACAGAGTTTCAGTTTTGCAGAATGAAACAACTTCTGGAGATGAGTGATGCTGATGATTTACAACACAGGGAGTGTGCTTCCTGCTCCTGATCTTCACACTTAGAAGTGGTTAAGATGTGGATTTTATGTTATGTGTAATTCACCACTATCTAAAAGACTATGCCAATCAGGGCACAGCGACTCACGTCTGTAATCCTAGGACTTTGGGAGGCCAAGCTGGGAGAATCAGTCGAGACCACCCTGAGTAATATAATGAGACCCTTTTGATTAAAAAAAAATAATAAGGGTCGGGCATTTGGCCCCGCCCCGGGCGCGGACGTTTTGAAAATCGTAGTTGGGGCTTGGCTACCTTCACAGAATCCTGCCTCTCAGAAAGGTCCCAAAGAGGGTTGTTTGTATAGAGACACGATCTCCCTGTTGGCCTGCTGGAGTGCAGTGGTGCTATCATAATAGCTCACTGCAACCCTGAACTCAAGGGCTCAAGTGATCCTCCTGAATAGCTGGGACTACAGATTAATGTGAAGGCTGAGTATACAAAGCTGAATCTTCCAATGGATGTGAGTGGAAGACTGCAACAGGGCTGGCATCAGAATTAACGTAACTACCGTGCAGGATGATGGGGAGACATCTAAAATACAGGTTGTTCTTAACATCACCTATGAGAGTGGACAGGTATATGTAAATGACTTCCCTGTAAATAGTGGTGTAACTCGAATAAGCTGTCGGACTTTGATTGTGAAGGATGAAAATCTGGAAAATTTGGAGGAAAAAGAATATTTTGGAATTGTGAGTGTAAGGATTTTAATTCATAAGTGGCCTATGACATCTGGATCCAGTTTGCAACTAATTGTCATTCAAGAAGAGGTACTAGAGATTGATGGAAAACAAACTCAACAAAAGGATGTCACTGAAATTGATATTTTAGTTAAGAACCAGGCAGTACTCAGACATTCAAACTACACCCTTCCTTTGGAAGAAAGCATGCTGTACTCTATTTCCCGAGACAATGACGTTTTATTTACTCTTCCCAAACTCTCCAAAAAAGAAAGTGTTAGTTCATTGCAGACCACTAGCCAGTATCTTATCAGGAATGTGGAGACCACTGTAGATGAAGATGCTTTACCTGGCAAATTACCTGAAACTCCTCTCAGAGCAGAGCCTCCATCTTCATATAAGGTAATGTGTCAGTGGATGGAAAAGTTTAGAAAAGATCTCTGCAGGTTCTGGAGCAATGTTTTCCCAGTATTCTTTATGTTTTTGAACGTCATG